CCGATCTGGCTAATCTACATGCCTCCGTCGAAGGAGGCATGTAGTCTAGACACACCCTTAGAGGTATATGATTTGTAGTTGTTGTTTTGGATCCATATTATAGTTGGAATGAGTATATTCCTGGAGGCTCTCAAAGCACACCAGTGTGTGTACACGGCCAGCCAGGTGGAGGCACCGCCATTTTGCATTCATTGCCAGCAAGGGACTGCAGCAAGGGGGTGGATAGGGCTTTCCCCAGCTAGACACCATCACCACTGGGGTGCTCAGGATCTCTTTTAGGTTAAAACATCAGGCGCCCAGGCACACCTGTGAGTGTGACCTGCTCCCCAGTAACCCGGGGAGGAAAAAGGGGGTTACATACATTTTTCCAAAAGCACTAATTATAGCTCAGAAATATTAAAATGCCACACAGATTGCAGGTAGGAGCAGTTTAAAAATCTAATCCACTGGTCTTCAATGTTTTTTCATAAGCAGACCCTTACAAAAATTCAAATGGAGGTGTGGATCCCTTTGGAAATCTTAGTATGCAGACCTCCAGCGATCCCCAGACCACAAGTTGGAAACACTGTTCTATGGCTGGTGGTCTCAACCTTTCCAGTCTAATTTGTCTTGTATACCCCTAAATGTCACTTAAAAACTACTTACTTATAAAATCAAACATAAAAATACAAGTGTCACAATTCACTAATGCTACAAAATTGAGAATTTTCTCATTTTTACCATAGAATCATAAAATAAATCAATTAGAATATAAATATTGTATTTACATTTCAGTATATAATATATAGAACAGTTATAAACAAGTGCAAAATTTTAGTCTGTACTGTCTTCAGTAGTGTATTTTATGTAGCCTGTTGTAAAACTAGGCAAATATCTAGATGAGTTGATGTATCCCTTGGAAGACCTCTGCATACCTTCAGATGTACACATACACCTCACTGAAAACCAATGTTCTTTGGTAATGACAACCGTTCATGGATCCTTTACACATAGTCTGCGGTCTCCCAAACGTTTGGGAGACACAGATTGAAAACCACTGATCTAATCAGTTGGGAGCATCTTAATTATGTTTTCAAATTGTTAATGTAAACCTCAACAAAAATGTTTTTCCTTTAAAAATGATAAAAAATGCTGACCCTTTTCACAAATACAATGATGTTCAAAGGTCTGTGTAAACAGACATTGGGAAAATATTTTGACTAGGGCTGTCAACTGACCTGCGTTAACGCCTGCAATTAACACAGGGTAGGATTAATGCTTTAAAAAATTAACGTGTTAATCACAGGTGTTAATGCTGTGCTGCCCCATTTGAAATGCTGCTCCGGCGTATTTAAGGGGCAGCGTTGCATGGATCCCGAGGTCAGCTGGGGACTCCATCTGATCTCGGGCTCCATGAAGCAATGCCCTATTGAGATGCCACGACATTTCAAAAGGGAGCTGCACACGATTAATTGCAATTAAAATTTTGAATCGCTTGATAACTCTAATTTTGACAATTTAGGTGATTAATCCCGGCCTCCATCCCCAAGGACGATAGGAAAATCAAAGTTAGTCTTCTTCGGATAAGAGAGTGGGTAGTGTACAATGATGAAGACAGGCAATAGAAATCCACAAACTCTGTAGATTTTTTTCTCCCATAGATTTTCCCTGCACTGCAAAATCTAAAGATGTTATGTAACAAAATTTTACAACATGGCAAACTTGCTAGAGCAGCTCATATACTGTAAGTCAATAAACTGCTGTTTGGGGAAACTCTTCTGCTAGATAAATAAGACAGGAGCAGAAGTATGAGATTACTGGTTCTTTTTACTGGAGCATTAACATCCAAGTCTCACTATCTACATTTAAATGATTGCAAATTACTGGGTGTTTGTTTTGTACGCTATGACCCTTCTCGTTGCATTCACATTAATTATAAATCATTGAAATATTATTAATTTGCAATTTTAAAAGTGTTTTGTAAATTCACAGAAAACTATAGTGCATATCCCCTTGAAAGCACAAACTGCTCTCATTTACTGCAATGAGAATGCCATGTGTTTAGAGGACAGAAAGCAGTCTGGAATACTTAATATGAGTTACAGACAAATCTGCATTAATTAGGATTAAATAATTCTATATTTCTGATGTTTTCTTATTTGTATTTCAACCCAAATATGTTGGCAAAACCAGTCACAAAGTGGCAATCAAGGGACAGAAATTTAGCATGCTGACAGGGATAGCAGTGTGAGTGAAAGCCAATCACAGATTGCCAAGGATATTTTCTAAAAGTCCCCAAATTCTGTTTAACTTTTGTTTACCTTTCAAATTGTTAAACTACATTTTTCAATTATCTCCCTTGGATTTGGCATTCTGCTGGAATACTTGGGCCAAGTAGGACAAACTAGTCCCCATAGAACATCCTCATTTAAATTATGACACTGCAACTGTTGCTTAAATAAGAATAAAGATCAGTATCACTGGGCCACGTTCCAACGTCCTTATTCCATATCAAGGACACAGCAAAAACTCCATTAACTTTGGTGGAAGTGTGAATAAGGAGAAAGCAAGACCCTCAGTATTTGGAACTGCACTGTTGACAGGTGTGGCCAAAATTAATACATAAAGATTGTTAGTCTACCAGACTACATCTATACTGAAGCACTATTTCCGGATACCAGAGATATCCCAAAATAGCTATTCCGCATCTTAAGAGCAAGCCCATTATATCAAAATATAATGGGCTCGCTATTCCGACGTCCCTGTAAACCTCATTGCAGGAGCAGTAAGGGCCATTTCAGAACAGAGATTTATTTCAAAATAAGTGCTGTGTAGCTAGTGCCAAATTTCAAAATAAGCTATTTCAAAATTGCCTCGAAATAAGCTACACAATTTATGTAGCACAAATTACGTAGCTTATTTTGAGGTAAGGGTGCTGTGTAGATGCACCCCCATATTCCCCACTGGGAATGGGGCTCTGCGCCAAGCACCTATATTGCAATGGGATAAGTTCTACTGGAGAACTGCACTGATTGTTTCAAATCTCTTTTAATGGCTATTGTCCTCAAACTAAGGTGTTGTGTACTTGGGAAGAAATACAAAACTAATAAAAACTAGGGGCTTCATCCTGCTCCCAGTGAAGTTAACAACAAAACCTATTGACATCTATGTGGCAGGATCAAAGCCCAATACAAGAAATGAGTCACTCTAGACTTCCATGTAACAGGAAGCAGCAATTTTTACAATCAGCCCCTGACTAGCAAAAGCCTTAGGTCCATGTTTTAATATTCATGTTTTATAATCCGAGTCATGGCAGACTTTAACACATGCTAAACCCACTGAGTCAAAATCTAAGGGAAGCCTAGGCCAGGAGTTCTCAATCTTTTTGTTTCTTTCTTCACGTTGAGGCTTCCTCAACACGCTATAAAAAAGTCATGGCGCACCTGTGCCACAATAACTGGTTTTCTCCATATAAGAGCCAGGGCTTATGTTTATATGTAGAAAGGCAGGCATTTGCTTGGAACCCCATGCCTCAGGGACCCTCAGGAAGCTACATTACTCAGGCTTCAGCTTCAGACCCCAGTGGCAGAGTTCAGATCCCTGGGTAGGGCTTCTGCTTTCTGCCTTGGGCCCCAGTGAGTCTGTCTGCTTGTGTCCACCCCTCCCCCCAGGGATCCCCAGATCCCTAGTTGAGAATTACTGACCTAGACTTCAATGTGACCAATTTAGCCCCTGTTAGAAGTCTCTGCTGCCTTGCATAACCTAGTTTGAGAACATGTAACCTCACACCCAAATCTGAACATCTACACCACAATTGAATAGCCCTGCAGTCAGAACCCTGATTAATTAGAAGACTGTAGTATTCCATTTCAGTGTTCTATGTCAAATAGTCTTAAAGCTACTGTTTATTTTGCAGGGCTGTTCCCTTTCTGTAGAAGATTGAGAGGGCAATAAGAAAAAGAGCAGGAAGAAAGGGCAAGTCTTTTAGTCCTTATTCAGGTAAGACTCTCATTGAAGACTTTTCCTTAAATCAAGGTTTGAGCATGTAACCCTAAAATTCTGAATCATAACAGGTTTATAAAAATTAATTATGTTAATAATGTATCCATGCAACATTCTGACTGATAATTTACACATACAAGTCGTGACATTCCAAGTTATGGCTCCCTGAACAGCTGTAATTCAACCCTTTAACAGAAAATGCTACATATGTGGGAATATACATGGTGATAACCTTTATACATTAGCATACTATGTTCGGTATGTGACCAAGTTATAGTTGCTGAGGGAGCCATAACTTTGCCTTGATTTTTATGCAGTTAAATTCTCAGCCAGAACATAGGCACAGTGGTAGCTATAGGGGTTTGTTGATTGTATCTATTTCTTCAATTTCCTTGGTTTGGGAAGGAAAAAAAGAATAGTAAGTTATTGTAAGAATATAAGAATGGCCATACTGGGTCAGCCCAGTATCCTGTCTGCCGACAGTGGCCAATGCCAGGTGCCCTAGAGGGCATGAACTGAACAGGTAATGATCAAGCGATCTATCTCCTGCCATCCATCTCCAGCCTCTGACAAACAGAGGCTAGGGACACCATTCCTTACCCATCCTGGCTAATAGCCATCAATGGACCTAACCTCCACGAATTTATCGAGTTCTTTTTTTAACCCCTGTTATAGTCCTAGCCTTCACAACCTCCTCAGGCAAGGAGTTCCACAGGTTGACTGTGCGCTGTGTGAAGAACTTCCTTTTATTTGTTTAAAACTTGCTGATCATTAATTTCATTTGGTGGCCCCTAGTTCTTATATTATGGGAACAAGTAAATAACTTTTCCTTATTCACTTTCTCCACACCACTCATGATTTTATAAACCTCTATCATATCCCCCCTTAGTCTCTTCTTTTCCAAGCTGAAAAGTTCTAGTCTCTTTAATCTCTCCTCATCTGGGACCCATTCCAAACCCCTAATCATTTTAGTTGCCCTTTTCTGAACTTTTTCTAATGCCAGTATATCTTTTTTTCACTACCCAATGAAGTCAACACAAAAGGATATGTCAGTGTTCTCTCATATTTTTATTTCTGTGTCTGGTAACTAAAATGATAATAGACAAATCTATTTATTCCATTTTCACCTAGCTAGATAATGACACTCAATATTCAGATAAGAGGAAGTGGTTTTAGTAATTAAAAAGGAAGCTATGAACCAGGACCGCTAGTTTCTGTTCTGAAGATCAGATGCAACGTTAGACAATTCCCTAGATCTCTAGGTGTCTCTTTTCTCAATCATTTGCTCTCTGGAAAATGGAAAGTCCATCTTCTGCAGCGAAAGGGAAGACAAGCTGGTAGAGGAATAGGGTCTTGGATCCGTGTAAAACAGGAGATGGAGAAAACGGGCTACTAGTGGTCTTTCTAAAAAGCTATTCCTGGGAGACAAAAAGTGATTTTGGGGACGAACATCCTCTCTGAAGAGACTGCTGTGGTAAAGCTTGGTGGAAATACTGTCTTGTTTATATCATGTGGAAAGATGTTTACACAGTTGTGAGATTTATGATGAGAAACAATATAAAAGATGATTTTTCATCCAGCCATATTAATTTGCATGTCCTGTTCCTAGTTCTTAGTCAGAAGGCACTGTTCTAGCTAACTACTTGTATCAAAGAGAGGAACAAAAATCATATTCTAGATGTAATCTGCAACAATACATCACAAATAAAACCAAGACAGAAAAGCATGGTGATGGAGAGTGGTGGAGGTGGCACAATTTAAGTCTAGATTGATCAGGGCTTGAGTCTGAGACCAGATCAGGGGCAGGGTTTTCATCAGATGGTGTCAGAATGTCATGAGGAGCTCCTGTGATATTCACCTACACCTGGTTACAAGCAGGAAATTTGCTCCTTGTAGTTCTGTGCTGAAGCCAAATTGCAGGGACAAATTCAGCATTCAGGATCCAAAGTCAAAGCGTTGTGGTGAGATGTCATGGTTTTGGTTCATCCCTCCTTCAACACCATGTTCAAAGCATGTGGAAAAGCCAGTGACTAGCAAAAGACAATACCAAACAGTGGCCATGCATTCTCACAAAGTATATAAGCAAGCATTGGCCAGTAATGGTCTGACACTGCTCTGCTTTCAGTATTATAGCTACAATGTTCTGAGTAATGGGAATAAATAGGGTTGCCAGGTGTCCAGTTTTAAATTGGACAGTCCAGTATTTGAGCTTTCTGTTTGGGAAATACATTGATAAAGTATAAATGAGAAAATATAAATGTCTGGTATTTTTCTACATAAGATGTAATGTAGATTGTGATGTAATGTCAAGTGTGTCCGGTATTTTTGTTGAAACCATCTGGCAACCCTAGAAGTAAAGTACCAATGATCAAACATTTTGCTAAACCTAAAGGCCAGGCAATGCACTTTCCAATCTGGACCCCTTTGGGGGTGGTGCCAAGCTCCACAGGCACATCATTTCCCTGGCGTTGCAGTGAAGGGGGGGGGGACGACTCAGGGGTATGTACTGTTAGGCCTCTGTTCCTAGTCAGTTCTATGATCCCAATCTTTCCTGTCTCCTTTGGTGCACTTCGTACCTTAGTGCATGCACAGATGATCCCTGGAGCACAGGAAGTGCTGGTACCATTTACCCTGGACAGCTATGAAGAGGTGGGATCCAGTTCTAACAGTGAGTAGATGCATCTTTCAGTGAATTAACTGTCAGGCAAAGAATGGCTTGAGCACACATGCATGTATATCACCAGAGGGTGCATGGAATGGAAAGGCATCTGGCCTAGAAAACAAATGAGACAGTTCTGTAACTATCTAAACAGGTGACTCAGGCTACGTCTAGAGTGAATTGCTTTTCCAGGATACTGGAATTTTTTTTTTCTGAAAAGCAGATGTGCTCTTTCGCCATCCCTGTAAACCTCGTTCTATGAGGAACAAGGGATGTGTCAAAAGAGCACTTTTTTCCAAAAACTGGCGCCATGTAGACGTACCAAATTTCAGAAAAGCCTCTTTTGAAAATAAATCGGAAAAAGATACGTAATTTTCATTTCTTTTTCCGATTTAACATTGCAGTGTAGACCTAGCCTAAGTGGCCACCACCATCTCTCTGAACCAGCACTGTTTCTAGACTCTTCCTCAAGGCAGGTAGCCACAATAGGAGTAGATGATGGACACATGCTTGCATAAAGAGTATAATACTAACCACTCAGCCAGAGGTTCAGCAAGCCAACTAAAGAGGGAAAACAGACTTTACTCAGCAGGAGGTGAGGAGATGAAAGCCTTGCTGACAGTAGCAGGGGAAAAGAAAGGAAAACAGCTGACCTTTCTGCAGCAGCTCTAGCAGCTGGGCCTGATCATGTGATGAGATGCCCAAAAGCATTCCTGGAAGTGAACCAAGGGGAGGCACCAACAATTGGGGTGGTTTGAGTATTTTCCCTTGGAGGGAGAATGTGAAGAAGCTATAAGCAAAACTTAATATTGAACTGAATCAGTATGAATTTTTTTTCTGACTTTGGAAGCTTCATATGCTTCAAACAGCTGTTAATGGGTTCCTTGGTGATTTACTTTTCTGTCAGATGTCCGCCTGTAAGGCTTACTGTGATTCAGAATTTAAAAGGTCCAGGTGCAATTAAGCACAAAATTGGGATTTAGGCAGATGCAACGATATGATGCAACAACTGTGCAAAATTCTACACTCACATAGTGAGTTAGTTTTGCAATGGGCATATAAAACATCAGGCTTTTCATTGTCCTTGCCTTTACTAGGGGGAGGAGAATAAGCCATGTATGGGCTACTCAAGTCCCAAACAATTTGCAAGACTGTGATTTAAAAAAAAAAGTCAATTCTTTTGTTGATATGTGATGGGGGCCAGAATGGATTATTTCCTCATGTGAGTGGATGCCTGAGTAACAATTGTAAGATGTGAAGCTAAGACAAATCTTTACTAAATTGTTATTTGTCCGTTCCTTTGCTTACAAAAGAAGGCCCTGATGTTCTCAGTGCAAGATTCAGACCTGAATGTTTTACACTTGTTGGGACAAGCTTCTTAATAGGGACACTGCCGTAGATTCAATTTCTTTCCGATTACTTAATGATCACACTTTAAAAAGCTCTTCTGTTTTGAAAGCTATTGCTTGGTAATAATGGTATTTCGCATTTAAGGATATGGAGCATTTCTCAGCCTTGCTGAATCTTTCAAAATAGAAGAAACATTTTAAGTGTCACTACTGTAGTTCAAACATAAATTTAAAATTTATTTCCTACTAGAAGATTTACTTGGCATTGCTCCAGTCCCTAACTCAAATAAGTTTTGTTTTCCTTCATTTGAATTATAGCTCTGGGGTGGGGCTGGGGATAAGAGGTTCAGTAGGCAGGCTTCCCTGGGGAGAGAGGACAACCCCAGTGCTTTCTCACTGCAGCAGCTTGGAGCCAGGTAAGAAGCACCTGTCCATGACCACTGAAGCTCCAGCAGGCACAGCCGGGGAAGGGGTGCATGTCCCTGGGCTGGGGGACAGATAGGCTACGTCTATACTGCAGGAATTTGCCGGCAGAAACAATGCAAATGAAGTGCTCATTAGCATTTCTTGTGTTCGTATTTGCATAGTCTCTTCTGATCCTTTTTGCGGCAGCGGTTTTTGCACACAAAAAAGCAGTGTAGATGGGGCCATTTTGCGCAAAAACCCCCTTTTGCGCAAGTTCTCGTATACCTCCTTTTTTGACAGAGCCAAAAAATACCCAGACGTGAACTACTTCGAGACAGACCCAAAAGGGAAAACAACAGAATTCCACTTGTCATCACCTACAGTCCACAACTTAAACCCCTCCAACGCATTTATCCACAATCTATAATCTATCTTGGAAAATGGCCCCTCACTCTCAAAGGCCTTGGAGTTAAGGCCTATTCTCGCTTACAGACAACCCCCCAACCTGAAAAAAAATGTTTTCCAGTAACCATGCTACACAGCTACATCATAAGCATCCAGGAACCCAGCCCTGCAATCAGCCCCAGTGCCAACTCTGCCCACATAACTATACTAGCAAATTCATCACTGGACTCAACCACATCAACCACCAAATCAGAGGCTCATTTAATTGCACATCCAGTAATGTGATATATGCCAGCAGTACCCCACTGCACTATATATTGGACAAACTGGACAGTCCCTATGGAAAAGAATTAAAATGGACACAAATCAGATATCCAAAAAAGAAACATAGAAAAACCTGTTGGGGAGCACTTTAACCTGCCTGGACACTCATTAAGGGATCTCCCAAGTTGCTGTTTTGTTACACACCAATTCCACAAGTCAAATACACAGAGAAGGACTGGAACTCCGCTTCATTCACAAGTTTAATTCACATGCAGATGGTTTAAATCATGATATTGGATGGCTGGGACATTATCAACCAACCAAACAATGAAGGTGCCAATGGTTTTTGATGCCTGTGTAGAATCTATTGTAAGTACTCTTCCTCTCCAAGTGCAAACTAATGGTTCTTATCAGCCTCTTATAACTATCTAGTCTTTAAGGTGCTAATAGACTACCAGTTGTTTTTCAGTTTTTCCTGTTATAAACCGGCTCAGCTTTCCCTTTGAAATTTATCTACCCACTGCCTCTTTTCCCCCCCCCTCTAATTTTTCCTTCTCTCTTTGCCCCTCTCTCCTTCCCCCATTTATTCTTGGTTGTGGACATCCAACACTCCAGTCATCTGAAGAAGTGTGCTGTGCCCACGAAAGCTCATGATACCATCTACATGTTTTGTTAGTCTTTAAAGTGCACAAAGTTGTTATCCAGTTCTCCCAGGGAGCTGTCTTAGAAGCAGCTCTGCAGCTGGGCGAGAATACACACTTCCAGGGTTCTTGGTCTGTAAAAACTTCATCTTCAGAAGGCTTGTGTTCACTTCATCTTACCTACATTTATATCTCTTTGATTTTATTTTTAAAGGACCACTGGAGCTGGAAGGGAGTTCAAGGGTCTTTTAGTTCATTCTCCTGTATCACTGCAAGATTGATTTTCTGTATTCCTGAGCTATTCCCACACACATCCACTCTGAGAAACCTACAGTGCTCTCACACTCTTTTGGTTGAACTCTGGTGTGTGATAGATTCTTTTAATCTTGCCTTCTTTTTCGCTTGGGACAATGTAATAGAATGTGCCAGCAAGTGTGGTACAGTGCACCTGACATTTTTCTACTGTTGATTCTGAGAAAATTAAATCTCCTGTGCATGGAACACAATGTATCAAATTCAAATGAATATGTAATACGTGCTGCAAGCAGTACTTAAGAATTATGGACATTTTTCATTATTCATATTCTCAAACTCTCTTTAGAAACAGACCTACCATTTGTTCCTTTGCATTTCAGTTGAGGGGGTGTCTGTGTCGTGACACTAGCTATTTGGTTAATATTAACATAGTCCAAATGTCAATTAGAAAATGAGAGAACGTTTTCATTATCCTCAGTCTATGAACTACTGTAGCTTATCTCAAATACTCTGTGGTTTCTGTCACTAAGGTGTGACCACACTTCCATAACCAACTAATCATGTTTTAGGAGTGAGATGTGTAAAATACACAACAATAGACAGATTTTATTATTTTTATAACATGTATTTATTGCCCTTCTTTGTACTGCACACAGTGATAGCTACTATTGTATGATTTCCTGTGGCATTTGAGCACATCACAAATACTGATGACCCAGGAAGCTCTATGTATAGGGAACTTTCTCAGGGGGTTACAGTTAGGGTTTTTTGCATTGCCACAGGGGTCTAATGAAGCCTTGATAGACTTCAGACTCCGACTCAGAATCTTGACTCTACCAGTCACTCAGACTGGTCCCCTCTGCCATTCTCTGCTGTGTGCACTACATCTGCTTTTTTGCCTCCTTAGCACAGGGCTGTAACTGAGGCAAGGGTGGATAGCTGAAGAGGCAGAAATATGAGGCCAGAGACAACACATGAGGGAAAATGTGGGGATTGTGCCCCCCCCCCGATTTTTTGGTTGCACCCCGCACCCAGAGAGTCTAGGTAACCTGCTGAGGTGAATCAGGGGATGGAGGTGGTGCTCCCTCCCCAAAACCCACCTCCTTAGGTGGCTTGTCTCACAGCTGGAAAACTTCTGTGGGGCAGTCACATGCTTCTCCAAACCTTTCAATTATGTTCTATCAACAGTTATGTGTCACCCATGAATGGGTTGGGAAAACGACAAGAAAAAACTTGTCAGGAGGCACAAATATACTTGCTCACCCAGGCTGTGTCTATACTATACCTCTCTGTCATCAGAGAGATGTAGATTATCATTTTTTGAGGAATACAGGATCTGTCAAAAAAGGGTTTATTTTCGACAGATCCGCATTTAGACTGACGATTTTTTCGAAAAAGCTCCGTTTTGAAACAAAGAGGCAGCCATGTTTATGCTAATGAAGTGCGGGATATTTAAATCCCTGGTTCATTAGCAATTTCGACGTGCTTGATTTGCATCCCTCTGTCGACAGAGGAATGCAGTCTAGATGTAGCCCCGGGCACTAAAAAGCGAAGTTACAGCTCTGTCTTATCCTTGCTTCTCTCTACAGTGAAGCTTTACAGTTTCTACAGGCTGGTGTGTGTTTGTTCTCTTCAAGCTTTTGATCCCCTGTCTCTAGAACCCTCCTTAGCGCTCTCTTTGATCATTGGA